GTGGTTTTATGGTTTTTCCTGGCCTTTTCTAGTTTTACTTCTACATTTTTCTGTGACGTTCTCATATAGACTTTGTAATGATTTAATCTCTAGTGAGTTAAAAATATGGCTGGAATGCCGCAGTACATGTGGTGCATTGAGATGCTCTGATGTGTCATCTTCCAAAGAATGAAAGTGTACTGTCACAAGACGAGAAGTCACTCTGGAAATCATATTGTAAGGAAGAAGTTGCAGGGAGTTTTGCTGGGAATTCATGCATTTGCCTTCAAAAGTGAAGATCTTCTCAGAGGAGCATTAGAAGACAAACTACTGTAGTCCTCCTCTACAATATCACACTAAACCTTCAGCTAAGGCTGATGTATCCACAATCGGTCTTTGCAGATGACCTCATTGAGAACTAAATGGGGCACACAGCACAATGACGTCAGTTTAGAAGTGTCTCACTTTTTAAACGGCAAGTATTTGAGGGAGGTATATTGAGTATCGACCAAAGTGAAAGCAGTTTGGAACAGGATTTTTATTTTCTGGTTTGATCTTATCTGGCAGCTCAAAATAATTTTTTGACAACGATAAGGCTGGTATCACTATATGTATCTGTAGTGTAGATGTGCATAAACAAGTAGAAAGTCTGCTATGCTATTTTTAACACATTATGTCCGTAATGTAATTTTTAAAAATTCTGAAACCATGGATACTAGTGTAGATGGACCACGTTGATATTAACTGAAGCTGTTTTTGGAAGCAGTTTGATGTTCAGTCATGCTGTCACAGATTTGCACGTATAAGCTCAGTACAACAACTTCAATCATGTTTATAATGTATCACTGCTTTGAGTCTCTTGTTTTTAACTTAAGTTACACAATGTAATGCAGGTGTTTTTTTGTTATAGGCAATCTAGTCTTTCGGTTTACATCCATCAAGATCCAAATAAAGAAAATAATCAAATTAGATGAAGTACCTTTCATTTGTAAAGTATTGAATTACTGAATTGATTTAGTTCTTGGATTATCTCAAAATAAAAACATTAAAAGATATTATAACCGGTTTGTGTCATAAAACATTTTAGGTTGAGTTTGCAGCAGATGGCTGTCAGTAGCCTCAAAGGTAATTAATTGTCTATTTTTATACGCAATTAACCTCCAATACTTGACTCAAATATTGGCTAAGGACTTGCCTGCCAGAGAAATGTGGGGTTGTCTAGAAAACTGTCTGAAACAATCACCTTTTTAGCTAGTGATGTGAATGGTATAGAAATTACTCACTCTTTCAGCTTTGAATCATTTAAACAATAAAAAAAAAATTGTTAACGTACCTAACATTCAACCCGATTTAATTAGTTAGAGATCTGATCTCACCTTCATCCAGTCTGTTTGGAATGACATGAAGAAACGGAACCAACTGAGATGAGAAGAGAATGAGAAGAACTCTGGCAACGTCTCCAAGATGCTTCAAGAAACCTACCTGCAAAGCTACAGTACTGTTAAAAGTTTTAGGCACTTGTGTAAAAATGATGTAAAGTGAGGATGCTTTCAAAAATAATGTCATAAATAGATTTTATTCCTCAATTAACTTCTATTTACTAAATCAAATCAACATTTGATGTGACCATCCTTTGCGTTTAAAGCAGCTTTTGCCCTAGGTGCACATTGAGGAAGCTTTACAGGTAGGTTTCTTGAAGCATCTTGGAGACATTGCCACAGTTCTTCTGGATTTAGTCTGTCGCCGTTGGTTCCGTTTCTTCATGTCATTTAAGATCTCTGTGTGGAGCACTGGCTGTTTTCAGACAAAAATCTCATTGGATTATTACAATTAATAGCAAAATTAATGTTTGAAAATGTAAACTGATATTTCCTACTGACATACTACAGCAAAAGATAGAAAAAAAACGTACTTTAAACCATTTTTTGTTGGTGAAAAAAAAAAAACTTTTGCACAATAGTGTGTGTGTGTGTTCAAAACACATGTTGTACTATATATATAATGCCATAGTTGAGCACAAACAATACTGGGTGGATTCGGGACCCTAAATCATGTCAGTACATGTCAACAAAAAGCATCAAGTGTTTAAAAGCCATTGAACAACTGCTAATTTATGCCCATTCTGTTAGAACTCCATGTACAGACAACCTGTTCTCACCTTAATTGCCTGTCTCTGCCCATCCAACCACTGTCTTCTAATGGGAAAAATAAGGAGCCATAAGTCAAAGGATAACATAGATAAGCTTTACCTCAGGTTGTGCTTGTTCTGTGGAATTTGTCTTTTCATTTGTGAATATATTATAATACAATACAATATATATTATATAATCACCAATTCATTTGGCAGAGACATTTGGGTTACTGTCGCCTCTGGCTTGCTTAGTTGGGGACACTTCATTTCCAGCGATATCGTTGACTTGATTGCAAAGATACTATTTAAACTGAGCTGAGCTGGATGATGACATCACTGAATTGAATGATGAACTGTCTTTAACTGAAAAATGAGTGTTTACTATTGTCATTTTGCTTTATTGACACACTATTTTCCTAATTAATGCTGTTCAGTTGCTTTGACAATCTGTATTGTTAAAACCGCTATATAAATAAAGGTGACTTGACTTACACTTTATTTTAAGGTTTCCTTGTTACAGTGTAATTATACATTTAAGTACTGATTAATCAGGGGCGGATTTAGTGATTTGGGGCCCCCAGGCAAAGTACAGGAATGGGGCCCTATACAATTTCACACATTTACAACCTTGAGGCTCCTTTCACTGTTGCTCGCTGCTGCACGATCGTGTCCCATAGTTGTCTAATCTTTTAGATTTTTCATGTATATGTTATAAATAAAGGATTTCTTTAATGTTGTAAATCCCTTGTTCACATTTAAACAGGTTATAATGGTATTAGTAGTAGAGTAGGTTGGACACTAGGTGGTGCGTTGGGGTAATTTTCACTATGCAAATGTCTACACAACGTAAGGCTGTCTAATTCTAAACTTTAAAATATACATTTATTTTTATTTATTTTAATTGCACATTTAAATTAAACTGAAGGAAATTATAAATTGCTTAAGGATTATTTCAACCAAACATGAAGTGTGCCTGTGTGGAAAGTGACTGTGCATGGTCCTTCTTGGGTCTTTCACAAAAATGAGTGAGCGCCGTTTAAAGAAATAAAATAGGCCCTATATAATATGCACTGTTGCTTAGTATTAAAATTATAGCTTCAGATGCATGATATTTGTAGGGCCCTATGAAATAAATTTTATTTTTCCCAAATTAGCCTAAGTTTTATTTTTTCCAAAATCTTTTTTTTCCGTTTAAATTTTTCTGGATTCAGTTTTTTTTTTCCATTTTAATTTTTCTGGATTTTAACAAAAAACATGTCTAATTAATTAAAATCACGAAACTTGTTTAATTTACCAGCAATTTAGGCCTATTAAAAGTTTAACAAAAATTACGTTCAAGGCCCAAATTGTGCGCTTTTTAAAATTTTTATTTTTTTATTTTCTGTATTCCATTTTAATGTTTTAATCAAAAACATATCTAATTAATTGAATTCATAAAAACAACTTAATTTATTAATTTGTATACAATAATAGGGCCCTATGAAATTTTTATTTTACTTATTTTTTAGAAATTCTGTTGTGTATTTAATTTTTCTGGTAATCAAATGAAGGCGAAAACATTAATCTATCTTTTATTCCAATGAAAATTAAACAAACCCTTTAATTTTTGTACATTCGAAATGCTACACAACAGAAATTTACTGTGTAACGATCAATGTCACGGAATTCGTCAAATATTGAATGAATAAATCAAATGCAATTCAGTACACTTCAATCAAACCGTGATGTGGACTAGTGTATGTGAACATTAAATTGCAAAAAATACTATTTAGCTACTACAGACGACAACCGCGAACGTTGCGCGTGCTTAAATATTAAATTGTTAAAATTAAATATCAAACGAAACGCGCGTCTGCGCTGTTCATTCCGTCACATTCCGCGTTACACAGTAAATTCCGTTTTTATGAATAGATATCGGGATTTCATCCCCATTTTCTACATCGCCCTACTTTTGCTAAGAAGCACGTTCAACGCAGACGCACAGACGGCTGTCGTGAATGAACACCACAGCAACTACTTGTGCGTCCGCACCGAACGCGCATCTCGCATATAAAAAGCATTTTAGGGGACCCTTGGCATTTGGGGGTCCAAGGCGGTCGCCTACCTTTGCCTAATGGTTAAGTCCGCCTCTGTGAGTAATATTAATTAACTACATGTACTTACTATATGGTTAGGATTAGGGTTTGGCTTAAGGTTACTTGCATGTAATTATGCATAATTAATTGTAATTGTAATAGTACATGTAACATGTGTAACAAGGACACCTTAAAATAAAGTGTTACCGAGATTTGTAACCGCTTTATGCTGACTCTATCCCTCTCCAATAGTAGCATTTCTTAATTTGCCATTTTAAATACCATCACTGCAAGCATCAAAATACTCTTTCTGCATTTAGACTTATCCAAAGCTCATCTCCAGACCTCCTCAGCTTTGAGCCAGAGACAGAAAGAAAGATGAAGGGGGGAAAACTGAATGTACTATATAGGAAGAAAGAATAAATCAAAGGGAGTATGACATTAGGATGAAATGGAGTGAAACAAAGTAAGAGAGATAAAACAATTGCGAGCAGAAGCAGCAAAAGGTAGAGGGAGTGTAAGATAATCTCATACATTACTGGAAAAAACTGATATTGTAAGCTACTGTTCAAACTTTTGGGGTCTGTAAGATTGAATATTTTGGAATCAATTTAATGCATCCTTGGTAAAAAAAAAAATTCTCTCTCTCGCGCTCTCGCGCTCTCTCGCTCTCTCTCGCTCTCTCTCTCTAAGCTAAGTGCCTGTGGCTCATAATGTATGACTTTTCCTCTTGACACATCTGTCTAGTTTCACATTCTTATGTTTACTTCTGTTGAGTTTCTTGGTCCATTTCTACTTTCCATCTGAATCGAACTGTATGGCTCAGGTTCATGTAACTGCAACCCATTTCATGTCAACTGTAGTTTACTTCAAAACTTGCTTGAATTCAACACCAGTTCAGAAATGTCCCATGATCTGCACTTATTAAAGCTAAATATTTCTTTATTTTTCAGCCTCCAGCTCCATTCCTGGTCTTCAGAGGAGAAGAGCATACAGAGTCACAGACTGTCCCGACCCCTCTCTCAGGTAGAGTCGCTCTCTCAACTCTTTTAATATAAACCTGAAGAAAAAATAACAGATCTGAACCAATAAAGCCTCCATTAAATGATTTGACAGGGGTTCTTGTGTATGACCTATTGAAACAGAAGTCAGGGCGGCACAGTCTGAAGAGTGTGTTCTTGTTTTAAATAGCAAGTAGCCTTCACACAACTGAGATCTGGAGCGCTGATTGCAGGATGTCTTTTGTTGTAAAAAACCAGAGGGTTCTATTTGTCCTGGTTTCAGTAAGTCATGAAAAAGACAATAACACTGTCTTAACCAAACACAATGTGACTAGATATAACCATTTTTGTCTGAACCAGCCATGACATAACAAGCAACAACATCCTCATGTTGTGTTTTGGTCATTTTGACCCAGAGAGGATTTTGTTCCCAAAAAGTCTAGTTAATATTATCGAAGTATCTATTTACCCCCATATAGTGCAAATAGCCTGCCTTGTTGGCATAGGCTATTTACACTAACTCCGCCCACCAAAGTGTGATTGGGGTGGTCAACACTTCAAAAGACGATTGATTAACAACAGCTACAGTGGTGTAGATGGTAAAGTGCGTTATGCCATAGTCATTTTTGACGCGATCGACCCAGGTTCCAATCTGCCTCGTTGAACATCTTTTCTTTTTTTTTCTCCCTTTTCAAATCTCATATCACATCGGTAAGGCATTTATTTTCAATAAAAATGAAGGAAATAATCAAAAAGGTGAAAATGAATTATCGGGTAGGTGTAGGGAGGGTTTTATTGTCCCTATAAGGTGGCAACCATTTAATAATTTTAATTAAAATTATAATTTACACTCAATATGTTATTGCATACTGTTTTATAATGTACTACTGTACAATACTGAGGTGTAGATAATTGCCACTATTTGCAATAAGTAGTATAAATAGCAGAAAATCCTGCTATTTTAACAGTGTAAATAGAATCTATAGCTATTTGCATGTAGTGTAAGTAGCATCTATCACTAAGAAAATATGCTATTTTCACTTAGTGTAAATAGTCTCTATTTACACTTAGTCTTAAGCCTACACTTAGGACTTAAGCCTAAAGGGTATAACAACTTCCCAGAAAATCTATATTTTTTTTACTTAGTTCCCCCCCCCCACCTATTTGCACTTGTGGTAAAAAAAAATTACCTACAAAAATGTATTTTATTTCAATTAGCACATGTTTGTAATTCTTTTTGGTACTGATAGATTGTAGGATAGATTGTAGAACATTGCCAAAATTGTCCACAAATAATGCTTTTTTTTACCATTAATCAGTTCAAAAACAAAATACAAAACCTTTGCTTACTGAAAGAAAACAAGTTGACAAAAGGATTGAATCCAAGATTGGTGATAATATTGCATAAGGAGAGATTCACAAGCAATTTTTTAAATGCCGGTCATTTTTGAACGGGAAAACCAAATTAGGTAAATGACTTTAAGCACAGGACAAGGGTTAAGGATATAGTGCTTCTCCTAAGCCTTAATTTTTTTTGGATCAGATGTCTTGTACTATTACTGTATGTTTTATAAGCTAGTAGCATTTATTATTAATGGCGATGGGACGTTCTCATGCTGAAAATTTTTTTTCTTGCTCATAGAAAAAAGTACTAAATACTTGTCAATATTTTTGGTCTGTTCTCTAGGAAGATAAATTATGTATGTATGAGACTGCTTAAAGTTTATTTTTCAGTGTGTGTTCAGTTTTTATACTCCATGTGAATCAGTACTGAACATATACAGTTACAGGTTGCCAAAAACGAGCAAGTGAAATTGGAGAGATGAGGTCTGGTAAGTCTCCGTGTTGATGGGATCTGCAGCGGAACATTGATGTTAGTTCTGCCTAATGCATCTGAGGAGCTTCCATGTGTGTTCATGCTCCTAGTACATGCTGCATTGAGTCTTCTCATGGACGAGGATTGCTTTGCTCTGCTCCTGAGATGTGGCTCATAAATCCCTTTAGTCTCTGCCTATATATGACTTCATGGGAAAAGCAGGTTTTCAGTGGCACAAATGAACTGCGATGACTCTTCGCAACAAGCTCCAGGATTGCACTCTCAGGAAATTAGATTATGATTTCCATCCGTTAATACCGTTCGCAATAAAAGGGTTAGCATTTCCAATATTTTCATAGCGGGCGGTGAGTACATAAACTTTGAAAAGGTCACCTCGCCATGCTGAAGCTCAACCTGGAAGTGGTTCATTTAGAACATCATTGAAACAGTGTGGTTGACCTTTCTTGTAGCTTCTTTTAACCTCGGGTTTATTAGCATTATTATAGCACGCTGCCTACGAGATCTTCATTATTATATGAGTTATGTACTTATTAGTGCTGTTCTCCGCTGACTCTGTAGCATCTTGGGGGATACAAAAATGGAAGAACAGGCAACAATCTAAAGGGAAAGTGCTCCAGATTCTGTCCCAAAAGCTAAAATTGAGCAGATGAAGTTGTGGGAAAGTTATTGCGAGATATGTCTGTTATTTAGTAATGGTCTCAGTCCCACAGAAGTTTCTACAAGGCAGATGTCAGAGCAGGAAAAAACAGACAGGACCTTTGATGGCTGAAGACATTCCAGTCATTTTATCAGTGCTGTGGATGCTAAATAAACAGACATTCATGACACCGCTTATTAAACTCAATAACATCCCAATTCCCTTGTCAGAAACGCTCGGTCCTTTTAAAGACCATCGTTTGAATGCTTCTGAATGAAGCTCATGGGAGGTCTGGGAGAAGTCAGTGATGATAGTGGCACTGAGCACTGGCCTTTGTCAACAAAAAAATCTCAATATAGATGTAAAATGCTGTGAAAATGTCCATGCAAAACTAGATGGGGAGAAAGAATGTGAGGAATAGTTCATCCAAAAATGATAATTCTGTAATTTACTTGTCCTTATGCAGTTCAGAAGGGAAGATTATCTCGTTTGGACTTTTATTGATAGCATGGATATTTCCAAGACATCTAATCAATGCGAGTTTTCATCTGGACGCTAGTCGCTAGGACATTCAGCAGATATTTGTGCTTTAGAATGTACAGTGTGTGGATCTGCTTTTCTGGTCACAATTTATTTTAAGGTCCAATTCTCGCAATTAACAAACCATTAAGTGACTTTTACCTCAATAAACATCTAATTTGCTGCTCATTATTAAGGTAGTTGTTAAATTTAGGTATTGGGTAGGATTAGAGATGTAGAATATGTGACCCTGGACCACGAAACCAGTCTTAAGTCGCTGGGGTATATTTGTAGCTATAGCCAAAAATACATTGAATGGGTCAAAATTATTGATTTTTATTTTATGCCAAAAACCATTAGGATATTAAGTAAAGATCATGTTCCATGAAGATATTTTGTAAATTTCCTACTGTAAACAGATCAAAACTTAATTTTTAATTAGTAATATACATTACTAAGAATTTAATTTGGACAACTTTAAAGGCGATTTTTTCAATATTTCGATTTTTTTTGCACCCTCAGATTCCAGATTTTCAAATATTTGTATCTCGGCCAAATATTGTCCTATCCTAACAAACCATACATCAGTGGAAAGCTGATTTATTTAGCTTTCAGTTGATGTATAAATCTCAATTTTAAAAAAATTCTCAGAAAAATTACCCTTATGACTGGTTTTGTGGTCCAGGGTCATGCAGAATACGTGCTTTATAAGTACTAATAAACGTCCAATAAAATTGGTCCCTTTACTAAAGTGTTACCGCTTTTCTTTAGATGTTTTTACACACAACATTTGAAATGAATCGCAATAAAACAAAAATTGTAATATGCCTTTCGTAAGTATTTCATGATAACACCGTAACAGCATAATGATAACCGTGTGGACTGAAGTTCGGACAAAACATGGAAAGAAGTCCCTCTCAAGTCTGAGTCTAAGACCAGTGACTAGACTAGAAAATATGGTCTAGGACTTGTGAGTCTAGTCTTGGATACTGAGTCCTGGCTGAGCCAGATTTTAGTACTGCAACACTGAATGAAATGCAAAAACAATGTGCTTTTTTCATCTTGTCTTGTCTGTTTGTTTTTTTTTGTCTTATGATGTTTTGTTTTTTTGTCTTGTACTCTGTTCCTTGTTGATTTTGTCTTATTTCATTTGTTTTGTTTGCTTTTTCCTTTGTTTTGGAATGTTTTGTTTTTTGTTGTCTTGTTTGCTTTTTGTTCCCTCATCTTGTTTTTTTGTTTTTTTTCTTTAGTCTTGTTTTGTTTTTGTTGCTTGTGTTGTTTTTGTCTTATTTGTTATCTTGTTTGTTTTTATCTTTTGTTTGTTATCTTGTTTGCTTTTTGTCATTTTGTTTTTTGTTTGCTTTTTGTCAGTTTTTGTAATGTTGTTTGTTGTTTTTAGGCTTGTGGTGTTTTTGTTTTATTCTTATTTTGTCTTGTGATGTCTTTTTTTGTCTCGTGTTTTTGTTTTTTGTTGTCACGTGTTGCATCGTTTTTTTTCCATTAAAAGTAACTTTAATGGCAGTGTGGGCAAAACATTTATTTGGAGTCAAATGACATTCCTTTTTAGTTTGGAGTTTGTGCTTTTTTCAGTGTGATATTGTCTTTTTGTACTAACTTTCAATATGGGATGGCTGCCTCAGAGTTCAGACCACATTATATGACAAAATAATTGCAATATGATTTTTGTTGGCCCTATTGTACAGTCCTAATCATAAATTCTCTCACAGACATCCCACCAGTGTACGTGTGCTTACAAGGAGAGTGTGGTGTAGACGGAGCCATAGCCATCATGTTCAAGACACCCTACTTGCATGCCACTTTTAAAGTATGAAATGTCTCAGCCATTATTTTGACCCTCAGACATCCAGCTTTGGGCCTCCCAATAAATCTGAGGCAACCATCCAGTTAACCCTGTTAATTTACTGCCGACACCAATCCAGTCCAAATTAGGGTCGTCACCTTCTGTTCTCAATCTCTCTCTGCACAATCAAAACATTTTTCTCATTCTTTATTCTTTCTCAGGCTCTCTCTA